TCGTCGCAGATTGGCGAATCACCCGGTTGAATTTGGTAGCCTGTACTCCGATAGGGATCGTCTATCACTTGGTGATTTAGACACGGATCTAAGCTTCGACAAACAGACAACAATGTTAGTAACACCACAAAAGTTTGCATCTCGCAAATTTCGCTCATTTCTTCTAAAGGCCACAAGACACCTTAGTCTCGTTATCGATGTCACAAAATGAAGGTTCGTTTGTGCTGAAAGCGCTTTTTGCTTTACAATACTGACATTCAACTTTCGACTTCCCTTTTCCGGATAAAGAAGCTTCCTGGTCGACATGCCACTCAAATGCCCACTCACAGAGCTGTGTTAATATAATTCAGAGTGATCAAAAACACGGAAGAAGATGAAGAAAAAAATAATGATAAGCAGGCATCAACGATAGCTTTCGCGGTCATTAGAGAGGATTATGAATCTATGACGAATATTTCTCATTGGTGATAATGCTATTATCTTGTGTATGCGGGAATATGTGTTGATGGTCGACCTCCTTTAACTGAAAATCGGTAGAATCTTATTACACAATATGTATAGAGATATAAAAGACAGTCTACCGGCATACGCATGAAATGATAAAATTAAGTAATTACTAATTATCTAAATTTATAAATTTCAGTCAAGCAATTCAAAACGTCTAGTAAATGGCGTATTCTGTTTGGAAACTTTGCTCCTTGAATAGGCGAAGTGATGACGGCCTGAAAATCTTCAACATAGCGATGATATAACGATTGTTTATGCAATCTTGTAAAGTTCCTATGCTTGTATAAATAATCAAATCATGCAAATTAGTGAAACTTGGCGGTAGCTAATCGACTGGAAACAAAATTAATCCTTTTAAACTCGTTTCAGACAGGAGGTTAGCTTTCATCACGTAAGGTTCTCGGCACAACCCGGCGAATTCCATACTTGTGGTTTCATTGAAAGACAGACACGTAGAAACGTAGAAATCGCTTCATTCATGCAAAATAAAGTTAAATGATAAAACGCTCAACTCTGACATGGTTGTGTGTGTTCGTATGCTGAATAAATGGAGAGAATGATTTTTTTAATCAGTAATATGCTGCAATGCTCCGTCATGTGTCATCGTTGGTAAATCTAAATATTGTCGTACGATTGAAGATGCGAGCAGTGACATTAAATTTAGTAATATTTGCATGGTATGATTGGGGGCATTATGACTTATCGATAAGAGATAGAACGCTGTGTATTACTTAAATTCACTTAGTCAAATCACTGGATGAAAGCTTAGTAGAACGCAACTCTATCCAGATGCATGGTGGCGGGTGTTATGATACAAAACTATTAGCGATTGGGCTTCCTCGTTTCGGAAGTCCGACCTTCATTTGTTATCGGATTATATCAAGAAAGTAAGAAAGTATTCTGCTTGGAGCAGAATACTTCTTACTTTCCTGTTTGACATACTTTCCTGTTTGACAATAAAACAATCACTCTCAAGTTATCAATCAATCTCAGTTTGAGGGGGCTAAAACGTGACAGCATGAATGAAATCGTGCATGGTCGATATGATGAGGATTATGAGATATGATTTACTCTTTCACGTAACCTTTCAAAGTTTTGAGAGCATCCTGCGGATAAGTTTGTTGTGCATCTCAGAGTGTTAGTTTAGAATGCCCATTGCGTTGATCTTGTGCTGGTAAAAACAACCTTTTGCTATAAATAGAACTCGTTTAACTAAACCATAACAATAACTGTTCATGTTCCTAGGGTACCATGATAGACAAAAGCCTAATGACTAATCACAGCCTACAATTATGTTTGATGAAAGATATTTTCCTATAAATAGTCTCTGTTGATGTAAACGTTGCGTGTTGGAATTTGAAGCACAATTATCCATGAGACAGGGAAATAATTTCTTCAAAGGGAAATTCAAAGGTAATGCAAACATGTCAGACACTCAACTCTGATATAATAGCGTGTTTGTGATCGCACGTTGAATATTTTCAACGTGCCATATTTCAGCGTACCATATTTTCAACATATGGTTTCGAAACTTTCCCCATTACTAAAGGAAAAAGTTATGATTAAATTGTGTTTTGGAATTATCAAAATTTGCGTACGGCAGCTTAAGTTCACTTTGCCGTATATGGATTTGGGTGAGAAACGACAAAATAGCAGGCCAAAATAAGTTAAGTCATGGGTCTAATTATAGGAAGTCCCTTTCTTCTGCTTAATCAACAAAACTTCCGTTGTTGCTTCAACAGTGGTAAAGTCTGTTTCTAGCACACAAAAATACAAATTTTCTTTCATCATATTCACGTGCGATCCTCTTACAGTTTTGCTGACGAGGGAGACGACGCTTTTTAATGGTTTTCGTCTCACCTACTTCGCCTGTACATGATCGACTAAAATTTAAGAACTTATATCACATCACTTGATCCGATGGGTTCCAGGCTCGCTTAGGCCTAGTTCAAACGTCGATCTTTACATGTACCGAACCTAATTGCAATTTGGGTCGACTCGAATAATTAAGAGCGGCAGTTGATATAAACGTCTATACAAATCTGCCGATCCTAATTGATTCAAACGTCGATCTTTACATGTACTTAATAGAAACGTTAGGTTCGGTACATGTAAAGATCGACGTTTGAACTAGGCCTTACTCTTAAAAATTAACCATTTCATAATATCTATAAGCGCCGCTGCAAATTAACTAATCGGAAGGAAATTCGCGAGGCGCAGTAAAAAACTTTGAACACAAAGTTTTGATCATCTTTGACATAATTTCTAAGTAATAAAAACAAAGATAATGTATTCAAGAATGGAAATTGTTTTCACTACAGTGATAAACAGGAACAAGCGTAGCCTCAAGAAAGCCTCGGAGGACTTCAACTCAAGTTCTCAACAGCAGGAAGTAGAATAACATCGAAGACAGTAATGGTTTTCTCCCGCTAGTTGCGAACAAAACTGCTTTTCAGATTGTTGATCTGATAACACCGACGTTGAAACTCGACGATCTGGCTGCCGCTCGCTTGCTCTGCTCACTAGGTCAAACAAATATATTTGTGTCCAATGCTTCTCGTAATTCTATCATTTTCAAGCAACAGATCACCTGAAGCCTAACTTCCCACTACTGAAATAAAAGCGTGCTTATCTCGAACAAGGCATAGTGAAATTCTTCGAATGAAAGGCTTTCATCCACTCGTTGAGCGAGTTAAATTATCGTTAAATACCTGCGAAAAATGTTTATTATTGAGATTTTCTTGCGATGAATACGTTTGACAGTAAGATAGAATAGAAACTATGATCAGGCTCCAATAACTGATTTGTTAATAGTTTTATTAATCCTGGCCATGGGTGGATCCCGATGAAAAACTTAACGTGATTGGGCATCCACCTTCCGCGAACCCGAATTTCATTTGTCACTTGTGCCTCATCGGATAATATTCTTCTCTGAGGCTTGGCGCAACCTTTAATTCCTTTGTAAATTGGCATCATAAACAATAGAAATAAAAGCCTAATCAAATTGAAGAGTGTCGAAAGGACTTAGTTCGCCAGGCGCGCGGCCATAACAAAATAAAATTTATGCTGGTTTGAATTCTTATTTTGGTGAAGCCGCCTATTGTAATGTTTTCAGCCATACAACTATAAGCTGTAATTAAGAAGCAGATTTCCTTCGCTGCATCTCTGTGAAAATAATTGTAATTCCACTTTATTTTAGCGAGTGAGGACTTAGAAAACTTTGAAATTACAAATCTCTCATATCTCTTTAAATTTTTGTATCAGTCAGGTTTGAAATGCTCTTGAAATAATTTTGGTTAGCGATATATACCAGCTTCGGTAAGCTCTACCGAGAGTTGTGACACATCGTAGTCAAGTAGTAAAGAAGAAATGGGACTTTTGCGAGTACGGTTCAGCGCTACGAAGGAGAAAGGCATGCATCAAACAAAGATTTCGACTAAGACTGAAAAAGACGGTTTCTGGCCTGCGGTGCCCAAGTCAATATTAGAACTATATATTATTACTGAATCTTTAGTCTGTTGCGTTTGTGCTCTGTTTTCTATCGCGAAATCTATGCCAAGAATGGGTAGCTGTATTCGTTTCGTTGCTGTAGAGGAAATTCCCTTTGCAAACCAAAAGCTAACTTGAGGCGAAAGAATCAGCTGTATCGCGAGGCACGGTGTTTTTCGCCAAGAAGTCATCGGACAGTTTCATTGCAAGCTGTTCCTTTTCTAAGAGATTGCAAAGGCAGAGGCTTTCGTCGAGCCGGTCAAACGGAAAACGAGCGAGTAGTCATCTGATTCAATTTAATCTCAAATGGAGATTTTAATAGCTAGAGAAAAACTTCTTTAGTTTAAGTGCAGCATTGTAATATGACCCATTTCGCTCATGGCAAACAACTGAACTCAGTATTGTAAATGAATATTGGCTGGGCTGAAGAGTATCGTTCGTTCTACCGAGGACTTCGTTTTATAGAGGTTTGTTACTGATCGAGGTTCTACTGTAGCCCAATGGGAAAATAGAGAATGTTAAAAAGGAATTACATAAATGGATAAATGGGTGAATGGATGAAGGGATAAAAGAATCAAAAGTAAAGACCCTTCGAAGGGAAGCACGTCGTGACTAAGGTTGTAGTCACTTCCGGGTATGCTCGGTGAGATTGCGTGACTTATCTTGCATGCATTGGGGACATGCAGATGACAGCAGATCGTAGTGCAATCAAAGATGGCGGCAGTTGGTAGCGAAACTGCGCAAGGTTTACAACAACTTTTCATAGACATTTCTCTGAAGTTTAGTTCTGTAGAATCAGAAAATGTTGTTAAAATTTTAAAAAACAATTACGGAGGGAAATTCGATTTGCTGGGTAATCGTGATCTGTTGGAAAGTTTACATCTTCTTAAGAAGCATGGGTATGTTTCTGAGAACAACCTCAAACTAATCGAAGATGTTATTGCCCCGAAATCGAACAATGAGGAAATCATTAAAAAGTTTATAGAACATTTCAAGGCCTCCCGTTCGGTAACAGCTGATCCAGAGAAGGAATTGCTTGGACGGAGCGAAGAAATCAAGAGAATTAACAAAAAATTGGAATCGAAAGATACCGGAGTACTAAACTTGTTTGGATCGTCTGGTGTAGGAAAGACAAAGCTTGCCA